AAAAAATTTTTTTTTGAGGGGGGGCAATTGCCCCCCCTAAGCCCACAACAGTTCCGCCCTTGCAACTGACGAGCCGAGCTTGATAAGGCCTAAACTCGTTTACACCCCTACCTTGAAAAATTTTGGCATGGTGCTGAAAATTATATTGGTTGGCCCCACTTTTAAGCTAGCTATAGTTCAATATTGGGCAGATACTCGAATGTGAGCCGGTAAAATAGTAATGGCATATTGTTTCAGTTAGAGCCAAAGGTGAAGAACAATTGCAGAACGTCTCTTACAAATAATTGTCGATGAGCTCATCTCATGGCCCCAACCGATCTTTATATATTGGAATGTGTCGAAGTGAACTTCTGCACAACACAAGCAAAGCCTTCTTCTTCTCTGTGGCAAATTTCCATGGCTTCGGAGTCTCAGAGCTGTCCCTTGGAGATGGTGACCGTCGAACGAGAAGCTCAGGGAGGGTGCCCCGATGTTCGGGTCGGTGTAGGGTCGGAGGGACCCGGTGGGGTGGAGCTAACATGGGAGGACTTGTGGGTGACGACGTCGAAAGGCAATGGGCCGTCGGCGGCCATTCTTTCTGGTGTAACCGGGTTCGCCCGGCCCGGCGAGGTCCTCGCAATCATGGGCCCATCTGGTTGTGGAAAGTCCACTCTGCTCGATGCTCTTTCTGGTATTGCAAGGCTCATCACTTGGCTGGGCTGCTCTTTTTTGTTTTATTTTTATTATTATTATTATTATGTGTGTGAGAGCGTTTTGGTTCATCTGGTCGAAGCTCCCTGCTCATAAATTATCTTATTATTTACAATTTTTCAATAAAAAAATAAAGTTAGTGTAATAGTGTTTTTTTTTTTAGTTTTATAAACGATAATTTATAAACTTAAGCTTTGTCCTGTTATTAAGAAAATAATTTTCTTAAGATTAAGGTTTTGTTTGAGATGATTTTTTACTGCTTCTTAAAACAGTTTTTTAGTACAAAAAGTTAAACTTTTGTATTAAAAAGTTACCTTAAGAAGTAGTAAGAATGCCATCCCAAATGAAGCCTAACTTATATTATTGAAAAGTTCTTTTATTTAGTATTCAAATATCATGCATGGGTTTAATAATATATAATTCTTATTTACGTATAACATAGGGGTTATTTGATTTGAAATAAAAGAAGCGTAAAGTATTTTAAATAGAGAGGTTTAAAAAATGTTGGTGTTTGTTTTGAAGTAAAATAAATTATTAGTAAAATTTTAGTGTATTTAAAATGCATAATCTATTATAATTTTAGTGTATTTGAAAATCATTAGATTTAGTTTATTTTCAAATACATCATAAATTGTATTATATCATCACGGGTTGTCGCCGCCACTAGCCAACATCATTGTCCATCACTACCACCATCGACCATTACAACACTTGCTGCCAACACAACTGTTGTTGCCCCCACGCACTCCCACTCCCTCCATCCATCACGTCAGCTACCACCATCATTAAGCTTTACAGTACATTCATTTTACTTTAAGTCAAATAAATAAACATATTCACCAATGTTTATTTTATACTCATTCAAACAACTCTAAATATTTCAAATAACTTACATTATATTTTATTTTACTTTGCATTTCTTTTTTAGCTGACAAAATGACCCCTCAATTAAATGTCATGTAGCTCTTTGATACTTGACAAAATATTAGATATCAATTTTAAGATAACTTATCATCTATTAATAGTTATAATAAAGGATTGTTTCATTATTAATTTTGAATAATTAAAAAAAAAATCAACATAAGTTGCATAAGCCTACTACTTTACCTATTGCACAAAAAGATGTGACATATTTGATTTTTTTCTTTTTTTGCATAATAATGTTTCTTGTCCTTTTGATGTGAGATTAGGTTAACTCGTGTCCTCTTTTCCTCTAAAATTTTAGCATCCCAAAAGCTATAGAGCTACTCCTTATTTGAGCCTTTGAGCCTCTGGCTCAACAATCCCTCCTCATCCTTTCAAATTCAAGAAGTCATAAATTGACGTGCATCTACTTAGGCTTTATTTGTTTGAGCGTTTTTTTGTCTTTTCCATTTTTGGAAACGGAAGAATTTTTTTTTGTGTTGTTTGGTTCGTCAAATCTCGTTCTCAATAACTCATTTTTTTTCATTTTTCTGCAGTTTTGAGAAAGCTTTTTATATATGCTTCTTCGTTAAACTAATGTGTTTTAAAACTGTCTTTTACAAAAGCACCAAAAAAACAAACGAAGCCTTATTCATTCTCAAACATAGGCGGATCCACCAAACCACCCTCAAATTTTTTAAAAAAAATATTTAGTGGGAAAATTTTGGAATATTTTGGGTATTTTGGATATTTTCCCCCCTCAAAATTTTTTTTTGCTCTAATTTTATCAATCGTAAACATCTTTGCCCATCTCCTACAAAATAAAATTTTTTTTGCCCACCATGAAAAAAGAAGCTGGATCCGCCCCTGTTCTCACCACAAATCTTATTTGAGAAGGTATAGTTATAGTATTAATTGTAAAGATCTACCATATATTATATAAAGTATTGCTCATTTTAACTCAAACCAATCCTATATTTGGTTAAACCTCATGGTTTATCTTTCTTGGTGTAATTAGACAGCAACTAATTACCAACCCTAAGAGTTTTTTGAATTAGGGAGAAATATTATGTGCAATCACCAGATGGTCCGGAGATAAATCAGGATGCGCCACATCACCATGTACATAGTGGTATACAGCACTGATACACTGCTAAAAAAAGACTTGATGCGTTATGATTCGCTTCCAAACGGCATCTGGTGACCGCACAGAGTAATTTCACTCTATTAGGAATACACTTAATTGTGAAGCTTTCATTAAAAATAACCTTTTAAACCAAAATGCATCATACTAATTTACTTTAGCACTTATTTATATAACCCAATAGCGTTTTATTAACTTTCGAGGGGGGGTTTCATTTATTATCAACTATTATTCGCTTAGAAATATGTCATCTTACAAGCTTTCAAGAAACATGTTCCATTGAAGCCTTAGCTATAACATTCACTTTCATTATGTTTGAATCATATTGCAATTTAGGATGTCATAATCAATTTATAAAAATAATTTATATGTTTTAATTTATTCAAAAAAAGAAATTTGGATTATATATATGTTGAAATTTGCATTTTGTAAAAATAAAGTTTTGACTTATAAGTATATAATAAATAAAGATGAAGAGATATTGTAACTTGAGTAATTTAAATTATTTTAAATGTTGAAATTATTGGCTTATATTTTTACATAGACATATTTGAATATTTAAAATAAATAAGAAATAATTTATTTTTAATTTTATTTACAATTAATTTTGGATTAAATACTAAATTTGTCAGTCTAAACTTTAAATTATTCAAATAGCTAGCTTTGGTTTATATGCTTTTCTAAATTAATGATGAAAATATCTTATATTTTAACGGTAAATATTGAAAAATTATTTCATAAAAATATATTGCTACGAAATAACTTATCATTATTATCTTAGATATGAATGAATTGCTCTGTAAATGTTGCCAATAATTTTAAAGGTGTTGGAGATCAAATGAAGTCAGGATCATCCACAGAATATTTTTTATACATCATAGAAAAATTAGCAAAATCTCTTTTATTATTCTAACTAGCGATTAACTAAGGGTCTATTTGGCACGTTTGTAATTTTTTATAAAGATAATTATAAAATCGCTATGAAAAATATAACTTTTTTGAAAGTAGATATAAAAAATAATTTTCTAGCACAAAAATTTTCTTAAAAAAAAATGATCAAATAAAAACTATGACTACGATCCAAAAAGTAAAGCAATAAGGCACCGTCCTAAACAAGGCTGGCCTAAGATTTAGGCTTCTTTTGGGACGGCTTTCTTACTGCTTCTTAAAATAGTTTTTTAGTACATAAATTTTAATTTATGCACTAAAAAGTTTCTTAAAGAAACAGTAAGAAAGCCGTCCCAAATGAAGCCTTCGTGTCTGTTTGGGGTGACGTTCTAGCTGCTTTGCTTTCAAATACATACAATTTTATTTGAAAACTATTTTTTGCTGGTTTCATACCGTTTTTCATAATTTTTTATGTTAGAAAATTATTTTTTACAATTATAATAATAATAATAATAATTTCAACAACAACGTTATAATTAGTTGTATAAAATATTGAAGCCATTCCAAACAAACCTTTAACTTTAAATTTCTGTTTTACCTTTGTCTTCCTGCAGGGAGATTAGGATCACAAATGAGCCAATCAGGGCTTATACTTGTAAATGGTCGAAGGCAAATGCTTTCATATGGGACATTGGTACGAAATTCCTCTACCATTCATTTCAGTTCAATCCATCATTATTGGGAACTTTTATTACATCCTCTGACCGGACGTAGCTCTATGTTCGGTCAGAGGATTGTTACTCGTTTTTTGCTCGATATTTGGTCGGTATTACTAGGTATTGTTTGATAATAACTAGGAATACCGATATGTGAAGATCAATACCGAGCAATACTGAGTAATCCCAAAAAATACGTATTTTTTGGGATTACTCGGTATTACTCAGTATTTTGTCTTCACATAATGGTATTTCTCGTTATTGTTGGTATTGCTCGGTATTTCTCGTTTTGTGCCTGCGATCTTAGTGCCGGTCGAACGTAGCTCTACGTACGTTCACCGGACGTAATAAAAGTTCCATTATTGGACGAAATAAAGGGGGAGCTTTTTTGACAAAAAATTGTCTAAGGCCGGCCCAAGAAATCCACCGGCCCAATAAATGATTTTATTTGTTTATTTAAGTTTTCTTACCACTTGAATATTTAAATATAAATAAAAATTTATACTTTACAAAAATTATTAAGCATATATTTATTTCTATTTTTATTTAAATATCATCTACTTTTAGATATTTATTTTTTATGTGAGGATGTTGAAGGCCACATGTATGTTAAGTGTGTGAGGCCTCATTGATTTCAAAATCAGATATGATGATTTCTAGCACAAGGTATCATTATAATATTGGTGATATATGGTCATATTTTTTTATTAAATAATGACTAATGAGTACATTATTAATGGTATTTGTCTTAAAGAACAAGTAAAATTTCTTTTAGCCAATTTTTAAAAATTTTAATCATTTTTTTTAAGAAAATGGTTATTAATTATTGTTAAAAAATAATGATTGCTAAAGATAATTTTCACTCATATTCTAATAAAAATATGTTGGAATTTTAATCAAATCATCAATTATCATACTTTTTTCAAAGAGAATGACTATAGCATAAAAAAATTATGACTAAAGGTATTGCTTTTTATTCATAATTTATTAAATAATATGACTAAAGTTTAATGTTTAACTCAAATTTTAAAATAAATTGTTGCAATGCATGTTACACTTTCAATTAGTATTTATTTTTGTGTTTCTCATTTCATCCCTGTATGCAGGCATATGTTACTCAAGAAGACATTCTAATGACCACCTTAACAGTTAAAGAGGCCATCTACTACTCTGCAGAGCTATTGCTTCCTGATTGGATGTCTAAGTCTCAGAAAAGGGAGAGAGCTGAGCAAGTGATTATAGAAATGGGCTTGCAAGATGCCATGGAAACTAGAATTGGAGGAAGGAGCAAAAAAGGCATTAGTGGTGGGCAAAGGAGGAGGGTTAGCATTTGCATAGAGATTTTGACCCGCCCGAAACTCCTATTTCTTGATGAGCCCACGAGCGGACTCGATAGCGCTGCGTCATATCATGTTATGAGCAGGATAGTAAACCAAGCTCGACAACATGGTGGTACTGTCATTACCTCCATCCATCAACCATGTTCTGAAGTATTTGAGCTTTTTGACAATTTGTGCCTTTTGTGTTCTGGAAATACTATCTATTTTGGCCCTATTTCATCAACTAGCAAGGTATACATGTAACATTTAAGGCCAATATTAACATTTTGGTTAAGGGCATACATTTAGTTATCATATCAAGTTATCTAAGATCAAAGGCATATTTTGATTTCCTTACTTGGATGTAGTTCTTTGCACTCAATGGCTATCCTTGTCCACCAATGATGAACCCTTCTGATCATTTTCTTCGAACCATCAACAAAGATTTCGATTTGGTAAGAACTTGTGCCTGCTATATGTTTTCTTAATGCTTTTTTATTGAAATTACTTGAAAATGTATATTTATCTTAAACAATTAACCAGTTAATTAAATGTTGTTTATTGGCTTATTTGGCAAAGGTGATTGGAGAAGGTTGTAACAATAACTGCTCATCAAACACAACAGAAGTCATTAAGATATTAATAAGTTCTTACAAATCTTCCAATTTTTGCCAACAAGTGTTGAGGGAAGTTGCTCAAAGTCATAGCAATGTAAGCCACACACTCCTATAATCTTTTACATTTTATCGGTTAGGAGATTATTAAAGGAGCATAAATCACTTCTTTCTTTTTCTAGTTTAATACGTACTTATCATTTATATGAGTTGTACTCATGTGTTCATTGATATTTTTCAGAAAGGAGCAAAAGTGAAGAAGGGAAGGCAGGCTAGCTTCATTGGAAAATGTTCGGTGCTCACAAGGAGGTCATTTGTGAACATGTATAGAGATCCAGGATACTACTGGTTACGACTTGCAATATATTTTGCTCTGTGTTTGAGCATTGGGACCATCTTCTACGATATTGGATATGCTTATGGCTCAATTCAGGTCATTCATTTATTAATTGTCTCAATAATTTTTGAACAGATATCTCTCTCAAAATGGAGAGATTTATAGATAAAACATGTTGAGATAAAATTAAATTTTGTTGAATTTTGAGAATGAACTTCAAAGCATAGAAGATTGCAACAAGAAATGGAAACATTCAGACTTCCTATATATATTGCTCTATAATTAGGAAATTGTAATATATCTTTTGACTTCCTAATCAAAAGTTTAAATCTCTAACTATCTTTGAATGCATTTCAGGCCAGAGGTTCAATGCTACTGTTTGTTGCAGGGTACCTTACATTTATGGCAATTGGCGGATTTCCTTCATTTGTGGAGGACATAAAGGTCATATAAATTATTTTTTTCCCTATTTTATGATATGTTTTTTTTTTTCCCCCTCTTGTTTTGGCATTTATCTAGTAGTCTCTGACTCTCCCTTCATTTGTTCTTTTAGCTTGCCGTGTGAGCTTTATCCCTTTGACTAGCTCTAAGAAAAAAATTACATCATACACTTCTGACTGATATCAAAAGTGTGAAATATTGATGTAAAATATAATAAAAGTTTATAAAAAATTTATAAAAGGTTTAAGCAAAAACTATATAGTTTATATTACAAAGATGATTTTTAAATAAAACCCAAAGTTATAATTTATCATAAGATAAAATTTGAATGTCATGTTATACTGTTAGCATGACAATATAACATATAACATGAATTTATTAAAGAAAGATCTCTCTATTACTCTTACTACTTATGGTCCACTGAGAAGATGAGGATGCTACAAAACCTCAACCTCAGCATGTTGAGGTGGTCGATAGTTAGTACATCCACCCATACACTCTTGAGTAAAATTGTCTAGCTAGACAAAGCCATCGAGATTTAATCAAAACAACTCATGATTTGCTCCAGGAAGCTCATCTCCCATATAATCTATGGGATGATACCCTTTTCACTGCTACATATCTCATAAATCACATGTCATCTCCCTCCACCAACTAGTAATCTCACTTTTACCATCTTTTGTACAAAAGAAAACATGCAAACAATCGTCTTTGCATTTTTTGTTGCACTTGTTTTCCTTAACTTTAGCCACACTCAACACACAAGCTTGCTCCTTACTCCATGTCAGCTACCTACCTTGGGTGCTCCTCTACAGACAAAGGCTACAAATGTCCTCATCCCACACCAGGCAAAATTATAATACCATCATGTAGGCTTTGATGAGACCTCCTTTCCATACCATCGTCAAAATCCTCATATTAGTTCGGAAAATATCTACTCATTTATCACCTATTAACTTTGATTGAAATCTCTACTCTATCGTCATATTCCCAGCAAGCTGCCTCAACATCAAAACCTCTCAAATAGTCAAATTTTACCACTTATCAATTACCAGTAACCACTTCCTCTCTCATCCATTCAACTAACACTTCTTGTCCCAGCAATGCATTAGTCTCAACCTCACCACTTTTCGTAACTCTTCCACCAACAATCATCTCATTCTTACAAGACTAAAATAGGTTCCCTCAAACCATGCCATTTCTTCATCCTCACACATACTCTTCAATTTCCAATTGAACCCACTTGCTGCTCTCAAGCTGTAAACCAACCCTAATGGCCTCAAAATAAAATCGAAGGAGTTTGATGCTCTTGAATTATAAGGAACTTGGGCTCTTGCGCTTGCTCCATCACATCAAAAAAAATCCTTGGTTTTTTAAGGATCTATAATACTAAACAACATCATAGTAATTAATGGTTCTATAATCTGACATAAAACTCATCTTAGGATCCAAGGTTTCAAGCACGAACTTGATATTATTTACACCAAAAGATTCAGTCAACCAAAAAATAGCTGCCATCAAATTTTCATGTACCATAGCATTACACTACAACTGGAGCATTCCTTAATTATATGTTTTCAATTCTTTCCTACAAGGGCAACTCAATAAAACCATCTACATGCACAACTTTTAGGATTTTGTGATCCTCGATATCTACATCATGCAAGTCTCTTTGAAAAAGACCAACTATGGCTTAAAATCAGATCCTAGCCTATTATTTGCAACCTTCTTCGGTTGTCTTCTTCAACTAGGATTCAAAACAAGCTCAACCGACTCCTCTCTCTTCTCATTTCTATCATCATCACAATACTTCGATTTATTTGCTCATCTATTTTGATGATCTTCTTCTCATAGGCAATTTCAAATTAGTGATCAATTTTTTGCACACAAAATATTTCTCTAAATTCTTGAGAAGTAATTAAATTTATATTAAATTTAATATTCATAGTGCATTATATTAAATCACATAATTTCATAACAAAAAACTGAAAATTCTCAAGTGGCATGTCTTTCTTTTCAAAACCTATCTCTGCTCATATACACTATTATTTTTCTTTCATATGCAAAATTGAAAAAAAAAAAAATGAACAGAAAGTTTTGGACGAATACCTTATGAACGACGTTAAAATAAGCTAAGTTTATGTGAAATGTGTTTTTATAAAATACTTCATATTTTTTACAAAATTACCCCATTCTAGAATATTGATTGAATGAGAACTCGATGCTAATATATGCTGGATGCAGGTTGTTAATTTATTGATTCAAATGCTGTCATGATAATTAACTTATAAGTTGCACTAATTTAAATGTTATTTTATTTAGAAAGTATACTATTTTGCTTTGTAATATCTATTCGGCTATGCAATCTAAATAGAAAATAAGCTAAACATACTATTTTTTTTTTTTTTAAATGATCCAAATGTTATAAATATCGACTTAAATAAATGAAAAAAATATTTATCTTCCAGTACTAACTTCTATTTTTTCATGCTAATTTCATTTTAGATTTTCCGACGAGAGAGGCTGAACGGCCACTACGGCCCCTCTGCATTCATTATCGCAAACACGCTCTCCTCAGCGCCTTTCCTCTTCCTCATCTCAATCATCCCCGCCTCCGCCGCCTACTATCTAGTCGGTCTCCAACGAGACCTACAACACTTCATATTTTTTACTCTTATTCTCTACTCAAGCATGCTACTCGTCGAAGGCCTAATGATGATAGTCGCCAGCATGGTCCCCGACTTTCTCATGGGCATCATAACTGGTGCCGGCATCCAGGGCGGTATGATCTTAGCCTCCGGCTTCTTTCGACTGCCGAATGACTTGCCCAGGCTAGTATGGAAGTACCCAATTTACTATATTGCGTTTCACAAGTATGCAAATCAAGGATATTACAAGAACGAATTCATTGGGTTAACATTTCAAGGAAATGAGGGGAATTCCACAATTTCTGGAGAGGAGGTGGTGAGGAGTTTTTGGCAAATGGAGGTTGGGTATTCAAAGTGGGTTGATCTTGCAATCCTGTTTGGAATGGCGGTGCTTTATAGGTTGCTGTTTTTTGTTACAGTTAAAGTTAGTGAGCGTTTGAAGTAGAGGAAGACCAATGGGATGCTGCATATCATCATCACTAGAGCTAATTAATATGAATGTAATCTGTGGAATTTGTGTACTAAATCAGAGAATTATTCTCTGATGGAAAATGGATGTAGAAATATATTTCTATCCTTTTTTCTGCATAAATTTCTCTACTTATAAATAATTATTATTATTTGTGGGACATATCGGTTGTTTTCACATTGGATTTGAGTTGCAAATTTTATAGTGAGCACTTGGATGGAATTAAGGGGAAAATTTGGGAAATTTATGTATAAATTATAAAATTCTTATAAATTATATATATTTAAAATTTATGTCATTTTGTATATTTATATAATTAATTATAAATTATACATTGAGAGTTAGATGAATAAATATAAAAATTTAGATATTGGATATACAAATACATTAAATTATATGCTGTTATGCTATGTTGGGGAAGAAGGGCTCTTCTTAAGCCTTTTGGCAAAAGAGAGATGGAGGGGGAAGAGAGGGAGAGGACAACTTGAGGGAATTATTTATTTTCTTATTCAATGGGCATTACAAGAGGGGGGGTATCTTACATCACAATGACACCTCTCTCTATATAAATAATATAGGATATGATGGACCTAGGAACAATTTAACTAAAATTAGATCAATACACAACAATTTTCATCTTAGTCCAATTTTATGATCAAAGAACCATATGTACGCTTGTTGCACTAGCTCCACGAGGAACCCCACGCTCCACTGCGTGTTTTGAACCATGGCTCCAGCTCGCGCTCCTGTGCATTATAAACTACGCACTCCTACATCCCTTATTGTTTCTCCTGTAATTCGCACGCCTATGCCTTGTGTATTGCTGGCTCCTGCGTGCTTTTTGCCCACATATTTGCTTCTGTGCGACACACCCCCGCCAGCATCGAGCCCACTTTGGCTCGCCAGTATCCCCTAGGCACCAATGCAGTATCTGACCCGCGACTTCGCATGAACCACCCGTTTGATTTCAAGGTTCTTGATCCTTTGTTTTTGTCTCTGTTGCTCAACTACACATTCATCCATGTGCACAACTGCACATTCGACTTTGGCTCGTCCATCTGCACACCTACGCCACTCGTGCTTTTGGTATGCTCGCTAGACATTTGTAAGAGGTTGTACCCTGGTGTATGTTTTTTGTTGATGATATTCTTGTTGTTGATAAAACTAGAGAGGGAGTTGAATGTATACTTGAATTATGGAGGTCAACCTTAGAGTCTAAAGGTTTTAGTTTGAGTAAACTTAAAACTGAATATATGGAGTCCAATTTTACTAATAATAGATCTGGTGGGGGATTGTGACTTTGGGCGATCAAGTCATAAATAAGAGTACACATTTTAGCTATATTGGGTCTATTGTTCAAAGTGATGGTGAAATAGATGGAGATATTATTAGTAAAATTCAAGTTAGATGGTTGATCTGGAGGAATGCATCAACTTGTTGTGTGATAAAAAAGTCTCTCTCAAACTTAAGGAAAATTTTATAAGATAGTAGTGAGACTTGTTGCAGAATGTTGGTCATTAAAAGAGAAGCATAATATTAAGTTGTGTTGCAGAGATAAGAATGCTTAGATGAATGAGTGATTTTACTCTTAGAGACAGGATACAAAATGAGCATATACTTGAAAAGATTGGAGTAGCTCCAGTGGAAGATAAGATTAGAGAGAGTCGCATTAGGTGGTTTGGTCACATAAAACGACAACCTTCTGATAACTCGATTAGGAAAGTAGATGTATTAGATTTAACTTATGTTAAGAAAGGTAGATGTAGACCTAAAAAGATTTGATTAGAAAATATTATAAATGATATTAATTTCTTCATTAGATTTAGATGAGAATTTGACTCTAAACAAGACACAATGGAAAAAAAAAAGGATTCATATAGCCTACCCCACATAGTTGGATAACAACTTCTTGTTGTTGTTGTTGATGATGCTACATTAGAAAATAAATTTTATGATTATGTAAATTAGTTTTTGGAAAAAAAATAGTTTCAACAAAGAATATTTCTAATTTTCATTTAATTTATATTAAATAAATTTTCTTTTAATTTATATTAAACTCCCATGAACGATTTCATAAAAAAAAAAAAAATTGAATTATATAAGTTTTTTTTTCAAAAGAGTACTTAAGTGGAAAAATATTATGTTAAAAATATATAATAATTTCTGAAAAAAGGCTATATCAGAATATATAAATTCTCAATGAAAATATCTTAGTAAAGTACAAAAATAAAAGAAATTTTCCAACATAAAACTTGATGAAAATTTATTTTTTGACAAAAGATAAAACAGAAAAAATAATACTTCTTTAGATTAAATGAAAATCATTGGACGAAAACAATTAAGATTACCAATCGATTCTGAATTGATGAATACGGTCGGAGAAAAAAATTATTTTTTTATGAATAATTTTATCAAAAAATGAATTTTCAAATCGACAATTTAAATGCCAGAAAGAAGTCCAATAGATGGTGCAGATATGCTACTGAAAACTTTGACTACTGAATTTAGAAACATTCTTAGTTCCCATTGCCATTTACATCTTCATCGGACGAACATATAAGCTTGCTTATGGGCAGTGAAAGTTGGGATCTTTAGGTATGAAACAGGCAGAGGATTCCAGATACCTTAAATTAAGATTTCCGGGTAGGGCTGCAAGCGAACCAAACGTTCGACGAGCTACTCGTTGTTCGGTTCTATTAAAGCTCGTTTGTGATCGTTTAATTAACTAAACAAACAAACTTGAACAATATTTTAAATACTCGATTCTTAAATAAACAAACTTGAACACTAATGTGTTCGGCTCATTTATGTTTGCGAACAACATCATTTAAGTTCGTGAACAAGCTCGACATTAAGCTCGATTCGTGTTCAATTTTGAACTCGTGAATAAGCTTGATACAAATAATTAATATTTGACTATAGACTTAATAAATATAAATAATCATTGCCTTTGTTACATAGACAATTGCTTTTATTATAAATGTGTTTGTTTATAAATATGTTCATGAACGCATTTGTTTGATAGTTAGAAAATAATTGTTAAATATGTTCGCGAACAAGCTCGATAAACATTAAACGAACGAACATGAACTGAACATGAACCGAACATGAACACTCATTAATTTAAATGAACCAAACATGAACACAAACAATAAAGCTCGAACAAACATGAACCAAACTTGAACAAGCTAATATTAAATGAACACAAACATGATCACTCACATACTCGGCTCGGCTCGGTTCGTTTGCAGCCCTATTTCCGGGCAACTAAGACAAATATGAATGTGAGAGACATTGATAACTGGCTTATTCATAGCTGCTTCTTACAGATACTAGCCTAGATTTGGAGTCAAAGAATAAGGAATTGTCAACATAAAAATAATACTCATAGATAATAACGTCAAGTTCATGAGAAATTATTCTGTGCGGAGATCAGACACAGAATGCTGTTCGGAGACCAATCAGAATACGTCATGTCAGCAAGCATACGAATGCTTAGGAAGTGGCAACCCAGCCATATTAACCAAGAAAATATGAGCAATCAAAAAAATTAATATCTCCTCCATGGCCACCTTGACGAACAATTACATTCATCCAAATAAATGTTATGGAATGCATCCCCTAACAAATCCCATATAAATTTTCTATGATTTTTTATGGTTTAAAGAATATTAAGTGGCCATAACTATTAAAACTATAATCCATAAATTAGGATCAATATTAACACTAACATTGAAGTTAGGGCTGCAAGCGAACCAATGTTCGCGAACAGGCTCGATAAGCACTAAACGAACGAACATGAACTGAACATGAACACTCATAAATTTAAATGAACCAAACATGAACACAAACAATAAAGCTCGAAGAAACATGAACCAAACTTGAACAAGCTACTATTAAATGAACACAAACATGAACACTCACATACTCGGCTCGGCCTGGTTCGTTTGCAGTCCTAATTGAAGTGATAGGCACAACACCAAACCATGGAAAAAAAAATTTGAAGTTGAAATTTAAAGACTGATTCAATATGGGTAGTTTGGCTGTCTCATTCTAAACAAATTTGTCCATATCAAAACAAACCTAATAGAAAGTAGCAGTAATTGCATAAACACTAGAAGAGTAATTTATGTGGATTTTTAAAACATAGCCCATAATATTATGAGATGGAGCAATGCCATTTTTAAGGGGAAGAATAAAAAAATGAAAACATCATTGTTGGAGATATCATCTACTTGTTAGATCTACATTTTCTTAATTTGGAGCTTTCTCAAGGGTGTAAAGACTCAAAGCTAATTATCTCTCCCATTAAGAACAACAGTTCTAATAAACAAAGATCTCATAGATGTTGAGTAGCTTTCTATTTATCTTTAGTGAAGAGTTTGTCAAGAAGAAACTTTATGTCAATGCATGAGGCCATGGTATACTTTGGAGATTAGGTGATAGCTGTTGGTTAGCTAAGTCATCCTCTTGATAGATGGGGGAACCATGCAATCAAGAAGGTAGATATTAAATATCGAATGTTGATCGTTAATATGCATTAGACGAATGTCAATGAAAAACGACAAAAGACAAATATCTAGTTTTTTTAGAAGGTTAGTCCAATCATGTCAACAAAAAGTATATAAAAGCACCATCAAACAATCCAAAGAGTTACCTATTAATTATATGATGATTATTGGTGGACATCTACAGGCTTTAATAATTTTGAAATTATATTTTATTGGACTCTTTGAATTTGTCTCATCAATGTGCTTGTTTCGCTATAATCACAAAAAATTTGAGAACATTTGACCCGTTAATAATCTCGAGAAAATTTTCAGTTATGCTTCCAAATACTTAGTTACAACTTGTTTGGATTAAGATCCATAAGTTCTTCGTATCGTTAGGTTCATTATATTGTTATTAAATAATTCATCAATCTTATAGATGTGCACTACTCAACTATTGTTTTATTGAAAATAAAATTTAGTTGATCTCATAATCAATTCATAAGTTTTTAGCTCAAATACTTAGGCCAAAAATTAATATAATTTTTTTAAAAAAAAATTATCAATGATACTTTTTGATATATAATCAAAAATTTATCAAGCACAAATCTCAAGGCAAAAGCGCATGGGAAGCTTCCGAAATTAAATATGGGGTCATCCAAACTTCGATTTCAACAAACTTATAGTCTAACTGAATTTCTTGAAAAGACGGACCCAACCACATGAAACTCCACTCAATCCAAGCCCAAATTGGTCTAAATTGAAGACCTGAAATGCATTTATAAGGTTAAAAAAAAATTGAATGACTAAACAATTTCCAAATATGTAATGCTTATAGTCCAATCGAGCGGCACGATGAGACAAATCCAACAAGCTCAAGATCATCAAATTTTGACATCATTAGGTCACTCAAATACTCAATAAACGGTTCAAAATCATGGAAATCGATATCGGCCATCCATTCAAACCACTCTCAATGTGCCCTTGATTTTCTCCATATTTACTCGTCATGACACTCCAATAAAATTATAAATAGACACATCATTCTTTATCAATAGGTAAGGGATGACCAGGGGAAGAAGCAGGGGAGCAAGGAAGAGAAAGAAGAGATGAAAGGAAAAGAAATTTGAGATATCTCTTGCCACCAAGCTCCTCCTCGACCATCGCCTAGCCACTGACTGTTGTCGAACTTACGCCAGAACACCAATTATCGTTTGACTTTCACCCGACCACCGATTATTGTCGGATTAACGCCTGGCCACAAACTATCGCAAGACTTCAGCCAATCCAACAACTATTGCAGGATTTACGCCCAGCCACCGACCATCATTGAACCTTTGCGCGACCACCAATTATTATTGGATTTATGTCCGACCACCGATTATCTTTGAATTTCCTCTTGACAACCGTCGTCCGAATACGATCTTTTCGACCGTCGCCGCTTCACCCGACCACCGATTATTGTCGGATTAACGCCTGGCCACAAACTATCGCAAGACTTCAGCCAAACCAACAACTATTGCAGGATTTAAGCCCAGCCACCGACCATCATCGAACCTTTGCGTGACCACCAATTATTATTGGATTTATGTCCGACCACCGATTATCTTTGAATTTCCTCTCGACAACCGTCGTCCGAATACGATCTTTTCGACCGTCGTCGCCCACCGACTACGGTCCTTTCGACCTCCATCACCAGACTACGTTCTTTCCAGCCTTCGTCGCATGTTGACTACGATTTTTTCGACCTACGTAGCCAGACTATGGTCTTTCCGACCTCTATCTCCCATTGACTGCGGTCCTTTCGATCTCCGTCACCAAACTACGTTCTTTATGAGCACCATCGCTTGTCAAGTATAGACCTTCTGACCTACGTCTCTAGACAACAGTTTTTCTGACCACTGACGCCCTCCGACAAATGTCCTTCCGACCTTTGTCGCCAGACTACGTTCCTTCCGACCTCCGTCGCTCACCAACTATGGTCCTTCCAACATCCGTCGCCAGACTATGACCTTTCCGACCTCCCTCGCTCACCGACTACAGTCCTTCCAACCTATGTCGCCTGATAATGGTCTTTCTAATCTTCATTGATCACCGATTATGGTCCTTCTGAACTTCATTGCCTGACAATGGTATTTAATTCCAACCTCCGTTGCCTACCGACTACGGACCTTCCGACCACCATCACTCCACTATGGTCTTTCAGACCTCCATCGCTTGCCGACTATGGCTTTACCGACCAAACAAACATGTCAATATTGATTCTTCTGATTCTCACCATGTAATGCACTCTATATGATGTATATTAGCTACATCAAACCAAGGCATTCCCCCAAGGAAGAGCCTCATTTGTAATTGACTGCAAACGCTAATGGATTCATTCAAACTGGGTCAGGCCCAGTGATTTTCCGCTTTTTTCAGGAGTTTTCACATAAAAATTCTGGTGTCTCTTATGAATGTTACACCCTCTTTTTTATTTGATTATGTACTGAATCTTCATACAAAACTAAAACGGTAAACTTTATATTTCTCCATCATCGTGAATATTATAAGATGCAACACTTTAATAATGTTTCAATATCAATGGCTCAAATATTTTATTTTATTTATTTTTTTCCAAATTCTTAATGAAAATAACAACGATCTATCAAAAACTATGCCCATTAAAAAAAAAAAGTTATCTTTTTTGGCATTTTGACATATTCAAATAATGCAACAAAATCTTTTTTCCATATCAAACTCATAAGGTGGTAATCGATACTCTATAAGTACACCTCATATAATAAAAGGCATAACCAAAACGCAATCAAATCTCTCTCACACAAAACATTCTCTATTCCATGGCCTCCAACTTGACGAGCTCCCCCCGGTCGCTGTCAACTGATAATTGGAAGGACCCATTTAGGCGGCCATCGGAACGCTGGACTAGGCTTAATTGTCAGCCGGCAGAACAAGAGTCAAGCATTCAGCCTGAGAGAGGAGATGTCCCGGTGTATCTAACGTGGGAGGATCTCTGGGTGACTGCATCGGACGGCAAAGGTTCGTCCACCACAATCCTCTCTGGGCTCACCGGGTTTGCCCAGCCTGCCCAAGTTCTAGCCGTCATGGGCCCATCCGGTTGCGGAAAAACCACTCTCCTGGATGTCCTTGCCGGTACTAAGTCAAGTTTTTTTTAAGGATTATTTTTTTTTTTCCGAGTCTGCATGATGAGAATTTTAGTAGAAGAAGATGAAAAAAATCAGAACCAGTAACTTTTGATTAATAATAAATTAACAATCTAATGATTTGTTTTGGACTTACTGCTTCTTAAAGCAGCTTTTTATTACAAAAAATAATTTTTTCTACTAAAAAACTACTTTAAGAAGTAGTAAGAAAATCGTCCCAAACAAAGTCTAAGATTTTGTTTGGGATGACTTTTTTATTGCTTTTTAAAACAGAGTTTAAGTAACAAAATTTTAGTTTTTTAATAAAAATTTACTTTAAGAAACAATAAGAAAGCTGCTCCAAACGAAGCCTAAGAAAACTTCAAATCTTTTGCTTAATTTTCTTCAATTCAAGCAATAAAAAAAAGTCTTATTCAGTAAAAAAATATTAGTAGCATATATTTAAGATACAAAATATTTTTTAATATTAAAATATATACAAATACATTAAAAAAAATGTTATGGTTATTTCTGTGAACGCTGATCTGATCAATTTTTTTCATTTATTTATATTTATTGAGACTAAAAATCTTCGAATTAAACTTTTAAAGAGAATTTCAAACAAATTGCTATGTTTATTTAGTGCTTGCTCTGAATTGCACTAAGGATTGTCTGTGCTCTCTTCATATAAATTTTAAATAATTATTTCCTCCGCTATCTACGCCAATGTTGCAATATTATCTCATAACTAAAATAGCCTAACTATAAGACAAATCTTTACATCTATTAACTATAAGACAAATTTTTACATCTATTAATTCTTACCAATTCACCAATGCGTTGGTCTTCATGCGATTTCAGAATGAGAGCAATTTCCTGTCATATAAATATGATAATATATTATTTTATTTTATTTCTTATCCATATTTATTTAAAAAAGTTAGTTCATAAAATTATAATTAGAATAGTAATTTGAAATATATGTTCTCTTTATATGCAAATTAATAAAATTATTATATTTTATAATTTATAAGAAGATAAATATTCCGTGCATTCAATAAATTAAATGAGTTTGAAAGAAAGCTGAGGAGATTGATAGTTTAGAATTTAGACTATAGTGTTCATTTATGAGTCGTACTAGAACAGTATAAATGTGGTTATAGATAAGATTTTGAAGGGTAATATTGTAGAAGTTAATAGAATTAGAGATAGAATTATAACTGTAAAGATTATTGTTGATGCTAAGATTAGTAATTTTATAAGTGCTAATGCTTTTCAAATGTGTATGAATATATGTTCAAAACTAAAGTTTTTTGAATGACTTAAAAGATTTAATATGAAAGATATCTCTTGACCATGTGTTGTAGTCAAAGAACTGTGAGTATAACAACCCTTTGGCTGACTACTTCCCACCGCCTGTGATCATGTGTTGCAGGCAGAGAATTGTGTAGATCCCAAAAAGGATGCCTCGCCAGTGGAAGCAGGTTGACACCAGTAGGTTGACACCCTGTGAGAAATAGAATACATATAAACCCATATAGATAAAAATTGTACACATGAAAACTATAGAATTTTTAAAACTCATACAAACTTTTTTTATTCTTTGATCAACCCACTGGTGATCATCTTGGCATTGATGTGTGCAGTTCTAACGCAGTAGGCTCTCTTTTAAGTACTTCTTTCTATAAAAAATCTTGTTAAAATAATGAACATAAAATAATTTCATTAGATTATAACAGCCAAATTCTTATCTATCAAGATATTGTTCGCTTTTCCCTAAGAGCCTCACGATTTTGTCATGTCATTGTAAAAATTCCCAGTAGGTCACCCATCCCAGAATTGCTTTAGGATGATTAAATATGGAATTTCTTAATGAAGTTTCAATAATTACTCCAAAAGGTACATCGATGTTTAAGCGTTTAGCCTCTTTTCACTTAAGGGATTTTACAATTTCCTCCACTTAAGTAATTGACATCCTCCTTAGCATTTTTATCCCAGAATCATCCACCAGACTCATAAGATTCTATAGGTGGCCCCTAAAAGTTCATGTTGTGGCTCCCTTCATGTAACACTTTGTCCCATACAGGGTTCAATAGGTGGCTCACATGGCGTAGCATTTTGTCATGTATGACACTTAGTTCCCATCTTCCGATTTGTGTATTACTTTGATATCATTTATAACAGCACAAACTCTTAACTATCGAGAAATTGTCTCACTTTGGCCTAAGCGGCACACGGTTTTATCATGTCGGTGTAACTTCTCAGTAAGTCACCCATTCTAAATTACTCTCATATGAGCACACTTAACTGTGGAGTTTCTTAATGAAATTTCAGCAACTAAATTAAAAGGCACCTCAATGTTTAAGAGTTAGCTTCTTTTTACTTAAGGGATTTCACAAAGATGATGATTAACTTGTTTGTGTAACAAGAGTTGTGATTTTGCTAGTCGTTGTGTATGCTGGATGTGAGGCACTAAACCACTAGTATGGAGAGAACTCTCCAAGCCCTCACAATTGGATGTTTTATTATGCTTATTATTCTCCCTCTTCTTAATGTATTCTACTCGGGTTGGCCCAAGCTATGGTCAATTCACCTCATACACCCTCTCCAAGTCACAAGTGGCGCTTGTCTGACTATATAATATCAAAATAAACATATCTCTCAAATGATTGAAACCTCTCTTTTGAAAATTATTTTTTATTTCAAACAACCACCTAAAGTATTTCTGTTTAATATATTCAAAATTTAAGATATTAGTAATATTATATAAAAATAATTAGACTTACGAAAATTACTATTGTTTACCTCAAACTCTAAATCAAATATCTCGAACATCATGTGGAGTAAATATATAAAGCATCGTACCTGCACCTAATTATATCCCTAATCTTCTGAGTAGGCAATCTGACGGGATTAAATCTATAATGAGACATTAAATTTCATATAATGTTGCACATTTGTATAATTAATCAAATTAAAATTTATAAACATTAAGAACTTACATATAACCCTTAGAAAAAAAAGGCAAAGGTAGACCGACCTAAAAATATTTAATTAAAAGGTAGATCAGATTAAAATTTGATGTTGTTGTTGACTGAGTTATTTAAATTTATCGGCTAAGTTCCTTTTAATAATATACGACTTTTTTTTTTCTGTACAGGACGATTAACATCTCGCATGTCCAAATCAGGAATAGTTCTAGTGAATGGGCAAACGCAGACACTGGCATATGGAACGTCGGTATAAGCACTCGCCTCAGCTAAAGCTTTTCCAACTTCAAGTTGCCATTACATTTGTGCATGTAAAATTAATTTTGTCGGAAATACTAACATGCAGAAACGAGCAGAAATATTAAATATAATAGATATGCACCAGCTGTATCCAGTATATAATATTGCCTAATTTTCTAAGATTCTGCTACTCAAAATTTGATATTATGAGGTATCAATTTGAGTTAATAGGTTAAAATTATTATATCCAAATCTATTGTTTTAAGCCTAATTTGTTCATTATATAGGTCAAAATATTTGACCCGAATCAAATTTATGCGAACCCACTTGACTGAACTAAACCCATCTAACTCATTTATCATAAGGATTATGTAGTTTTTTTTAGTCAACACAGCCAATTAAATCCAATATGACATGTTGAACCCAATTTACGTATTTGACTCAAACACGTCCGACATGAACCCGAGTATTAATTTGGTTAATCTTGATTTGATTTTACATTACTCAGGTCAATTTTGCCCCGATCTGAATAATAATCGGGTTTATAATTTAGACTGAAAAATAATTCGATAGTATTCATTTCAAGTTGAACTTAAATTTTTTTGGAGTTGTGTCTGGATCAAATTGTTAGATTGGATATTTTATTATTGAACTTCAAACACGTTTTTATTCTAGAAAAATAAGGGTCAATTTTAATGTTTAGTTACACTTTAAACAATATTTCTTTAAAACTTAGATTTAATTCATGCACACTTAGCATTAATACCTTAATATCTTATATTTCTAAAACTCTCACAGGCATATGTCACCCATGAAGATGTTCTGACGACCACATTAACAGTCAAAGAGGCCATCTACTATTCTGCAGAGTTATTGCTCCCTGATTCGATGTCTAAGTCTCAAAAAAAGGAGAGAGCTGAGAAGGTAATCATAGAAATGGGATTGAAAGATGCCATGGACACTAGAATTGGAGGAAGGACCACTAAGGGCATTAGTAGTGGGCAGAAAAAGAGAGTTAGTATTTGCATAGAGACCCTAACTCGCCCAAAGCTCCTCTTCCTTGATGAGCCCACAAGTGGGCTTGATAGTGCCGCATCATATCATGTTATGAGCAGAATTGTAAACCAAGCTCGACAATATGATGGGACAGTCATTACCTCCATCCATCAACCAAGTTCTGAAATATTTGATCTCTTTGACAATCTTTGCCTTTTGTGCGCTGGCAAGACGATCTATTTTGGCCCTATATCATCAACTACAGAGGTACTTGTTTTATTTAAAGCAAACTATGCTAACATTTTATGTAGAAATCACCTTTTATGTTACGCATGAAAGTTACTATTTATTATGTTTTGCTAAAGTGTCAACTACTTTTGTTGCAGTTCTTTACAACCCATGGCTTTCCATGTCCACAAATGAGGAACCCTTCTGATCATTTTCTACGAACAATCAATAAAGATTTTGATATGGTCAAATTCCTAACTTCTCTATTTTTCTCTAAGGCCTTCTTCAACCGAACTCCAAACGCATGAATGGCGTCTCTCGCGAGCTCCAGCCGAACGGCAAAACTTCTACTATTTGGTTGCGGGTGAACAGTGCGACGTCAATATTGACGTGCACTATTCACCTACGCTATTTTTCTGTCTCTATCGGATTTGCTGAAGAAATGCGCAAAAAAGGCGCTGAAGGGCACAAAATGGAGTTCGATTGGAGATGAATCACGTCATTTTTTAATTCCACTGTATTTTAGAGTGAAGATTGGGATTTTCGGTTGGAGATGCCTTGCACTCGGTGATTCCTTAGATCCGTTTGTCAAATTAATATTTTTTTCATTTGCTTACTTCTTTCAGGTGATCGGACAAAGTGGGAGCTATGTTAGAACAAACAATACATCAGAAGCCATTGATATTCTAATAAATTCATACAAATCATCTAATATTTGCCAAGATATGTTGAGGAAAGTTGCTCAAATAAGCAGCATGGTAAGCTACAAACAGTTTAATGTGTTTGTTATGATTAAAAACAATAAAATAATATTAAGATTTATATTTGTAGGAAGGAGAATCGGTGAAGAAAGAAGAACAAGCTAGATTTATTACTCAATGCTCAGTGCTTACAAAGAGATCTTTCAAAAACATGTACAGAGATCCAGGCTACTATTGGCTTCGACTAGCATTTTATGCTGCTCTTGGTATTTGCTTGGGAACACTTTTCTATGATGTGGGATTTGACTATGAATCAATTCAGGTGATCCCAATGCCTTTGCTTTATCACTTAAGAATGTTATCATTCTAATACTAAAAGTGTATTAACATTTTAGGCAAGAGGCGCATTGTTGACCTTCATAGCTGTGTATTTCACTTTTCTGGCAATAGGTGGATTCCCTTCCTTTGTGGAAGATCTTAAGGTCAGTAAAACTTCCTTGTTTACTTTCACTCTTTCTTGTTTAACATCTTGAAACTCATTTAATAGACCTTAACCATTTTTGAATTTGTAGATCTTTTATAGAGAGCAGCTTAACGGGCATTACAGTGTTGTAGCATTCACAATTTCAAACTCACTCTCCTCGATGCCTTTTCTTCTTCTAATCACTCTCATCCCTGCCACCATTTCCTACTTCATGTCCGACCTCCAGCGAGACGCGGACCATTTCATTTTCTTTTACCTCATTATATACTCAAGCATGCTCCTCATCGAAAGCCTGATGATGATAGTCGCCGCCATCGTTCCTGACTTCCTCATGGGCATCATCACCGGCGCCGGCATCCAAGGGTGGATGATCCTAGCCTGCGGCTTCTTTAGATTGCCAAATGACTTGCCGAAGCCGATGTGGGTGTATCCAACTTATTACATTTCCATTCATAGATATGCAAACCAAGGACTCTTTAAAAATGAGTTCATTGGGCTAACGTTTCCAAGTAGTGATAGTCAAAATGGAGGGAATTCTACAATTGAAGGAATTGAGATAGTGAGAGATTATTGGCAGATGCAGGTGGGTTATTCAAAGTGGGTTGATCTTTGTATCTTGTTTGGGATGGCATTGCTTTACAGGTTCTTGTTCTGGGCTACAATTAGAATTGGGGAGGAATTGAAGGCCAGGGATCGGGTGGTTTTCAAGCAGAAGCAAGTTATGGAACTATCATTATCAAATTTAGCTGAGAATATTGATGGAGTTGGCTTCTTAGAAGAAAAGCATAGTGAGGATCGAGTATAAATACTTTGAATTCATTCTGTCATACTTTTTAAAAGCAATTTAAATATATGTATTGATATAAATTCAAAATGTTCAGATTGTGAACATTAAGGAATTAAATATACTGCAACCACACTTAATAAAATGTCATGCTTTTATCATTAAAATGTCAAAATTCAAACTTGAATTACTAGTGATGCGTGTTTTTGCTTTCCTTGTCTGGAAGAGTGGGATTGATTAGTTTTTGTTTGATTTAATGATTTTATTTCTTAATGATACTCTTAGGTCTCGTTTGAGGTCATTTTCTTACTGTTTTTAGCTCAAAAACTGCATAATAAAACAGTAAGAAAGCTATCACAAATGAAGTTGTAGTCTATCCAGCTGACCTAACTTGATATGAAGTTTTTTGTCAGCTACTATGAATTTTATCATTCAATAAGCCTTCATAGACCTTGAGCCAAAGAATAAATAGATTACTAGATTCTATTTAGTTGATGAATGGATTATAGTGGTTATAAGAGAGAGAAAAAGAGTAATTTTGATTATAATACTCATCCAACTTTATATGGACAATACTTTGGAGGGGAAAGCAAATATGCCTGAAGCCCTAACTAATCAGGAGGAGGAGTTAAAGGATAAGAAGGAAAGATCGCAGATTCTATTGCATGTTTCAAATGATATCTTACAAGATTGCTTGAAAGAAATTAGTGTTGCGGCTTTGTGGCTGAAGTTGGAGTCAATCTCCAGGACAAAGAGTCTATCAACAAAGCTCTATTTGAACCCAAAGTTTTATTCTCATCATATGACATAAGTTAAGGATATTCCCACACATTTGGATGAATTCAAGAGTATTATTACAGATCTTGAAATGATAGAAGTTGAGTATGATGATGAAGATTTGGCCTTGTTGATGTTATGGTTTTTGCCATCCTCCTACAAGAACTTTTGGGATTCAATTTTGTATGGACATGAATCTATTTCGGTTAAGGATGTCACACAGTCTCTTTTGTCCAAGGACTTGTTCGAGAAAGATGGACATGCCTCAACCTCATGGCAAGTTGATAGTTTGTTAATGCATGGAAGATCGTAGCAAAGATGATCAGATGATAAGCCCAGAGCAATATCCAAATCTCAAAAGAAGAATACAACTAGTAATTGTTGTAAGAAGAAGGGTCACTGGAAGTCTGATAGCCCAAAGTTAAAGAACAAAGAACATTTTGAGAAAGGTGATAAAATGAAGTTTGAGAAATATAGTCCAGCTAGTGTGGCTCCTGAAGATGATGGTAGCATCTTGCTTGTTAGTGAAGATGAAAAGAGATCTACATCAGAATGGATTCTTGATTTATCATGTTCCTTCCATATGACACCCAATAGAGATTGGTTCTCCATTTTTTATTATTCTGAATTGGGAGTTATTTTGATGGTGAATGATGCTTCTTACAATATTTCAGGGATTGATACAATGAAGATCAGGATGTTTGATGGATTTATTAGAATCCTAATTACTATTGTTAGATATATTCCAAAGTTGAATAGAAGACTGATTTCTCTTAGCATCCTTGATGACAAGGGGTTTCGATACATTGGTGAAGGTGGATCACTTAAGGTGTCAAGAGGATCTCAAATTATGATGAAGGGACGCTGCAGGAAATTTGTATGCGTTAGATGGTTCCATAGTTACTGGCACGGGTGCAGTTTCTTCTACATATTTAAATGTCACAAGATTATGGCATATGAGGTTGGGACACGAGTGAAAAATGGTTGGACGTGCTAAGAAAAAGAGGACTTCTGTGCGGTGCATCTACAAGTTAGCTTGATTTCTATGAGAAATGTGTATTTGGAAAATAGAAGAAAGTCTCTTTCAGTGGCATGATTTATCTGACAAAGGGTACCTTAAACTATATTCATTCAGATCTATGGGGACCATCTCGTGTTCCCTCCAAAGGTGGTGCTCAATACATGCTTACCATTATTGATTTTTACTCTAGAAAGGTTTGGTCTTTCTTTCTAAAGGAGAAATCATATGTCTTCAGAACATTCAAGCAATAGAAGACTTTGATTGAGAAATAAACATGCAAGTTTATCAAACGTCTCTATACTGACAATGGTTTGGAATTATGTTCTGAAGAATTCAATAAGTTCTGCAAGGATGAAGGTATTGTAAGGCATCATACATGTGTTGGAAGACCTCAACAAAATGGACCAGCAAAAAAGGTACAACATAATGATTCTAGAAAGGACTTGATGTATATTATTTGTTGCAGACTTGGATTGAGATTTTTAGACTGAAACTACTTTAAAAGCTTATTTCCCCATCAATCATTCACCTCACTCTGGTACTGATTTGAAGACTCCAGAATAAATGTGGCAGGTCCTGACTATTCACCTTTGAACATTTTATGATTTTGTTGCCTATAGTCATGTAAGTGATGGAAAATTAGATCCTAGATCAAAGAAATGCACCTTCTTAGGATATGGAACATATAATGGAGTTAAGGGTTTTAAATTGTGGAGTCCTGATGAATCTAAAACCATTCATAGTAGAGATGTAGTATTTGAAAAAAAAAGCTCTGCTTAAGGAGAAAGAAAGTTTGTCATCCAGTACCATTGATACTAGCTCTCCTGTGTATGGAGTTTGAAGTTAAGCGTAACAGTTTTCTCAACCCACCTAAGCTTACTGTTGAAAATGAAGAACCAGAACCTCCAATTGTGTAATCTTATTCTTTAGCCCGGGATAAAGAAAGGAGAATGATTCGACCACCATCAAGATTCATTGAGGCTAATTTTGTTGTTTTTTTCCTATCTATTGTTGAAGAGACATTGTTATTTAGTGAGCCATGCTTTTACTCAGAGGCAGTTTCTAGAGAGGACCCTGCAAATTGGATGATGGTTATGAAAGAAAAAATGGAGTCACTTGATAAGAATAACACTTAGGAGCGTTTGAAACTTCCAAAGGGGAAGAAGACAGTCAAGTGCAAATGGGTGTATAAAAGAAAGGAAGGTATTCCTGGTGTTGAAGAGGCTAGATTCAAAGCCAGATTGGTAGCAAAAGAATATAACCAAGTGTCAGGTGTTGACTTTAATGATGTGTTCTCACCTGTTGTAAAGCACACCTCTATTCGGATTCTACTTGGGCTTGTTGTTGTTGATGATTTGGAGCTTGAGCAGTTAGATGTTAAAATTGCTTTTCTACATGGAGAGTTAGAAGATGAGATCTACATGGTGCAACCTGAAGGGTTTGTTGTGGAAGGTGTTGAAGACCATGTGTGTAGGCTGAAGAAGTTTATTTATGGTCTAAAGCAATCTCCGCGACAGTGGTACAAGAGATTTGATGTTTCCATGTGTCAGCATGAGTTGACCAAGAGTCAGTATGATAGTTGTCTATTTGAAAAAGTTGGATAATTGCTCTTTTATCTATTTGTTGTTGTATATTGATGATATGTTAATTACTACAAGGGATATCAAAGATACTCAAAATATGAAAAAACTTCTCGAAGGCTGAATTTGATGTAAAAGATTTGGATGCAACTAGAAGGATCCTTAGAATGGAGATTCAAAGATCAAGGAATAAGAGATTGTTGTACCTTTCCCAAAAATCTTATATTCTGAAGGTGTTCGAGAGATTTAGAATGATATATGTCAAGCTATTTCTACTATATTTGCTTCACATTTTAGACTTTCAGCTGAAATGCCTCTTGAGACAGATGTGTTGACCTTGTTTACACACAATTGCCCTCGAGCGTGCTCGATAAGCTTGATCGGGCCTTGTCGACCAAATTTGAGTCAAATCAATGCCGATTCAAGTTTAATTTCATCAAATTAATACAATTAAATGCAATTAGGCCAAAACCGATGCAGATTGATCAAGTCAGATCTGATTAGAGTTTAATTTCAGCCCCAATTGAGTAGAATTGAATCAATTAAACTCTAATTGATTTTGTTAAGAAGTTTGAATCTATTCCTAAATCAAGGAATTGATTTTAACGGCTCCAATTGTCTGAGATTTAGAATGGTGATATCTCAAGGTATTCGCGCGTGATATGCTCGGCTGTAGCAGGATAGAGCACATAGGAGGTGGCGGCGGGATAACATCGGGCAGAACACATGAAGGCATGGCACGCCTCTTCCAGCCGCCCCCCAAGCAAAAAGCCTCTCTCGCGACCTTCCTGAGCTTCCTCACGCCAAGACAGGACTCCCGCAAGCAATCCGACTCCTCCCCGTCTCTGCTGTTCGCACGCCCAGGAAGCAGCCGAAGCCCCTCCGTCGACCCTCTGCTCTAGCCGCCGGCCCTCTCTCCCGCAGGTGATCTCTTCCCCCTCTTCTTCTTCTTCTTCTTCTTTTCCTTATTCTTTCTTCTCCTTCTCCTCCTCGTTCTTCTTCATCATCTTCCTTTTCTTCTTCTCCTCATTTTTTCTTTTTCTTTTCCTTATTATTCTCTCTTTTATTCATCATCATCATCTTCTTCTTCTTCTTCTTCTTCTTTACTTTCTTCTTCCCCCTCTTATTCTTTCTTCTTTCTTTTCTTCCCATTTTTCCTTCCCTACTTCCCTTTCTTTCTGATTTTAACCCTCTTCCTTCTTCATTGTGTATGAAGCTATAGCAATAGTATTTGTCTCTCCAAATAATAATAGTAAACGATTTATGTTTTGATTCATATTGTTTAAAAATGAATACTTGGTATATGAAATTTGCACTCGTTTGTGATTCATGTCATATGATTCAAAGTTTTATGTGTAGGTTGTGAAAGATTATAAGAAGCCATGTTATTCTTTATCAAAAAAAAAAAAACATGCAAGGTGTTTGTGTTAATGTTTGTTAAGAATGATACAAGTCTTGATAAAAAAAATGTTGAGCGAGCGTGGTTTTATTTTATCTCAACATTGCATGAATTTATGTGATTTGTTCTTTTAGAGAATCTTCAATCATCATTTGTGGATGAATTATTTGGTTATCTCTTTCATAACATTGCCAAAGCACTTTGATAACAAATTAGGAAGATATGTTCCTTCTTGAGAATGATG